TAAGATGAGTCTTGAATGCGCTCCATCTTCTCAAAAGCTGGCCTCGGTACCTGTCTACTGATGACCTGAGAATACAAGTTATTTTGAAAGAGTTTATCAGCATTAAGCTGGTGAGTTCATAAGTATTTTAGTGTCGGTATTTGTCATCCAAAAATGTTTGAACATGTATCAAGTATAAGTTTGTAAAATGTATGTAAGGGTTTGCAATTGTTTGTAAAAGTTTGAATCTCTCAGAAAAACCTATATTTTCTATTAAAGTAGCGTTCTACCAAGGCTTAACTGTTTTGTATGCTCGTTTGATGTAAAAGTGTGTAATTTCCCAAGTGTAACTATCATTATCCAAAAATATAGTTTGTACATTAACGTTTAAGTGAGGTTATCACTAAAATATGTAATGGGTAAATCATTGTAGTACTGTAGTCTTGTATTATAAGAACTACTGTTGTACTAACTACCTTAAACCGGATTTATATTAAGGCATTATGTGATAAATTGCACCATACTATCGACTAGTAACAACGACATAATGAATGGTCGTAATAACGGAATGACGTTTGGCACCCGCAGACCTGCAGGTCCGGCTGTAGCTAGCAGCAAGGTGTAGGATTGTCAATCCAGTATAGATCTATACGCAAACTCACGCTCTCCCTCCAAGAGAATTCTGGCTACAACTCGAGCCATGACAGTTAAGTCATGCTCCAATTTAAATCACAGTATTTAAAGTATTCATGTATATGTAATGTTTCTCGTTCTAGTATAGTTGTATATGTATTGTTTCTAGCATCGTTGTATATGTATTGTTTCTAGTATAGTTGTATATGTATTGTTCTAGCATCGTTGTATATGTATTGTTTCTAGTATAGTTGTATATGTATTGTTTCTAGTCTAGCTGTATATGTATCGTTTCTAGTATAGTTGTATATGTATTGTTTCTAGCATCGTTGTATATGTATTGTTTCTAGTATAGTTGTATATGTATTGTATTACCCCGATGGTAACTAGCTATTGATGTACTGGTAAATATGAATATGGAAGTACTTTTATGTCTATACATGTATATATGATATATAACTAATATGGAAACGACCCTCGGATGGTCACCCGAAATCCCACCAGACCACATCTCAGTGCGCGAAAAGGAAATAGCGCGGATGGCCTTCCTAAGCCCTTTAAACATTACTTATATATATACATATATGGGCATGCAATTTAAAAGAAGTAAAACAAAGTTTAATAAAAGTATTTGATAAGTAAAAAGAGTTTGTAAAACATTTTGAAGTGAAACAGTCTGATAAACAGTTGAACAATGATAAAATCATTGGTTTTCTAGTTATTAATCACATGTGATTGATGCAATAACTAATAGTATTTAACTTGTATCCCCCCATAAAGTATTTAAAACATTTCAAAGGTTGATTAAAGGGGTATGAACTCACTTGTGGTGAGTAGATTGAATTGATGTATCGGGTACCGTGCTAGGTGGCAAACAGAGACTTGTTCACACGTTCGAGCCTAGTTATCATATAATGAGCATATATATAACTAATTAGCCAAATAATAACTTAACAAAGTAAGTTAACACACTTAGGAACATGTATACACTTTATATAAGTGTTATAGGTCCTAATGGTTGCATCTAAGTTGATACGGGACAAGGCAAAGGGGGTTTAATGCACCAATGACCTTGTATATAAGTTCACCACCCATAAAACCCCACCCTTTCGAGTTTACGGCTGTGAACCCATGAGTTTACAGCCGTGAACTCCTCACTTGGTGGTTTTGGGTGTTTTGAAGTGTTATCTTGATCCTAGAATAAGTCTAGCCTTGTTGGAATAATCCTTGAAGTAGTTTAAGGCCTTGGAATGCTCCTTTGGGGAGTTTACGGCCAAAGGACCATATCCCCTAGAGTTTACGGCCGTAAACTCCTATGGGGTGTTGGTTTTAATTCATTTGAGGCCCTTGCACATGTAGGATAGCTTCCATGTTTTTATCTAAGGCTAAAGGGGACAAGAGGCACACATTTGTGCCTTCACTTGGAGTTTACGGCCCAAGATATGTTCCTTGGCCGTAAACTCCCTTTAAGGAGTGATTTTGATGTCTTTTGATCCCCATTCAAGTCCCAAGTAGTCAAGGTTAATTGTCTTAAGGCTTTAAGAGTGTTTAGGGCATCTTTAACACTTGAAAAAGGGTTTACGGCCCAAGATCTTTCCTTGGCCATAAACTCCTAAAACCTTATGATTTTGAAGTGTTTTGGTGTCCAAAATAAGCACAAGCATTAGAGGGTAAAGTCCTTAAGCTTTAGGGGGTGATTTAGGGCATTTATGACCCTTAAAAAGGGGTTTACGGCCCAAGAGAGTTCCTTGGCCGTAAACTCCTATTACTTGTGTTTCTTGAATGATTTCTAGCCTCTAATGATCATACACTAAGTCCTTAATTAGTTGCTTAAAAAGAAAATGGGACTAGGTAGCCTTTAGGCTTCGTTTTGGAGTTTACTCCCCAAGAACGTTCTTGGGCGGTAAACTCCCGGATCTTGCAGTTTAAACATGTAATTGATGTTATAAACCACATAACAAGTATTGAAACACATTTAGGAAAGTATACTCACAATCCGGGATGAAAACCCGAAGATCCGTCAGAGAGAATTGGCTTTTCTCTAGTTGGAATTGTGAATAATGAATTAATTAAATTCAGAAATCTATTTATAGTCCTGAAATATTTTGACAGAAAATATTTTTATTCCGGAAGTCGGACTATAACATTATGAAACTTACAATGTTCAAGTTTCACAATTACAGGAGCATCCACTCTCCTGATATATCCAGAAACATAAACCCTAATGTACACAAACTTGTTCGGACAAGTCTGAAGATCACTGAAACTGGACTAGCTTCTATTGAATAGATAATGTTCGTACAAATGGAAATTTCGGGTTGTCACACTCGGTGAGTATGAGGACCGACTCAACGAGTAAAGTCGATATCATGACTCGGAGTAACCAGGGAACTCGGCGAGTTAGGGGCTGACTCGATGAGTTGGTTCGTGATTTCAGTGTTCGGAGTTTTTGCACTCGACGAGTTGAGGGAGCAACTCGACGAGTTGAGTCAACTTGGAGCTTTGACTTTGACCGTTGACCGTTGACTTTGACTTAGACCAGGGTTGACTTAGTTTGACTTTTGGAGGGTATTTTGGTCTAAGTGTCATTTTGGTAATTGATAGCTCGGGGAGTCGAGTGATCAGTGGTTCGAGGATCTATCAACTAGCAGCAAGGGGCTATCGCAAGATTCTACAATCAGCTTGTAAGGTGAGTTCTCTCTATTAGGAACGGGTCTAAGACACCAATGCCGACCCGTTTATGTATGTTAGTGTATACCGGATTTAGATATGATGACGGGCGACGCCCGAGGAAGGATTATAGGTATGTTTCCGAACTACGGTTCGATGTCGGGTGGTACCCGAGGCAGTAGTGTATGTTTAGTTACACTTGTTGTCTTTGTAATAGTTGTATGTACCTGGTAGGTGGATCAGTATGGGCAGGGTCCCGTATCTCATCACTAGCTGAGTATGGGCAGGTTTCCATATCTCATTAATAGCAAAGTAGGGGCGGGGCCCAAGATAGGCGGGACCTTAAGACTAGCAGTTATAATATAATGATTGTTTGTTATGTATTAGCATGATTATATGTTATTGTTTGTATGTGTATAGTGGGCGGGGCCTAGTAGAAACAGATCTGTATACCGAGTGGGGCTCGATGCTAGGCGGGGCTTAACGTCGGACTCGTTCGATGTCGGGCGGGCCCGATGTAGTGAGCTTGGCCCAATGTTTGCAGTATGTGATTATGTGTATGGTATGTGGTAGATTGGAGAACTCACTAAGCTTCGTGTTTATAGTTTTCAGTTTTGGTTTCAGGTACTTTTGGTAGCCGAGGGAGGAGCTCTGGATGACTGCATGACACACACCAAGAAGTTTTAGCCTGGGATGTTTACTCTGATAAAAAGATCTTATTTGATATAAAAAGATCTTATTTTAAGATGATACTCTGATTTGATATACCGATTTTTGTTTACGAATGAAATGGTTGATAATTATGGTTTTTATTAACGATTTAAAAATGAAATTTTTAGACTGTATTTTCGGGATTTTCAGTTTGATCTTTTTTATGAATGCAGAATACCTGAATTGGTACATCGACCTTTGCGTAGTTGATAATGTTTTCATTATATTAAAATTGGATACGATGCCATCTATAGCAACATACTTTTAGTTGTTTTGAACCCAAAAATGGAAAACCATGATCCATAAACCCACAAGTTCAAACCGAAAACCCACAAACCCAAACTGACCAATGTTGAAATTGAACCCATATAGGTTTTGAAACGGAACATATATAGGTTTTGAAACTGAAAAAAATGACTTCTGCGTTTTGGGTTTGGGTTTAGCCAAAACACTTATCCAAAACAATCCATGCTTATCTGTAGTGAAGCTAAAACTCCTTAAATCACTAGAATATACTTTCCATCTTGATAATTAACCTTTGTGTGAAAAATTACTAGGGAATTCTTATGCGCAAAATACAAATAATGATTTCATTCTTATCATCAAAAATAGGTTTGGAAACATTTCATATATAATCCATTATGTATAATGGTTATGTATGACAAGACATTATATGATAAACCATAATAACCTCGTACTACAGTTGGCATGCATCAGACTAAAACATATATCAATACAACAAAAACTATAATTTTTATCCTACATAAAAATAAGACAAGGTCGATAAGGACTCACCATCGATCTCTTATTTGCACAAAAGACGTAAATGTCATTGTTATCATTGTCATAAAACATAGTCATAGAAAGATTATAGTCTTACCTCCATAGAAATACACGAAACATATAACAAATTTGCATGAAGTTTTAAATAATTGAACGACTTTTAAATGAATTCATAATTGATTTCTACTACTCATAATACACTTTAAAAGAACATACAAAATAAACTACTTGGGCTTTCTAGCCAAGAAAAAGTACATTGGTGTGAAGATCTCCTTCCTGCCACACCACAAGATTATGTGATGTTAGTAAGACTATGCTACTATGTTTGTTGTGTAAAAACAATGCTACAAACATGAATGACTTTCTTTTTTACTTATTTAAATGAGGCATCTAAAGATAGAAAATATGAAATCTTACTTTCCGCCTGCGAAAAGCCCTTCGGCAGCTTTCTCTAAAAAAGCTTGAACCCTTTGACTCCCTTTTGGAGCAAGCCCCATCCATTCAAAGGCCTTAACCTATTATTAGAATAACATAATGCAATAATACAACATTTTTTGTGAATATATGTAATAATAATAGTAAAAAATAATTCATGTCAATGTATATTACCATGTTCCTTGTAAAAAAGCGTCCAACAGGTGTAACACGAAAATTGTCAAGTGAGAATTGACTTGTATCGAGAGGCAAGTACCATGGAAGGGGTGAATCTTTAGCTAGATCTTTCTCCCATATAATCTCCATAAAGACACAAACTGTTAGATTCTTTGTTATGCAAAACAAAACTGAACATGTTGTATTGTTTGATGCCAATGGGACAAAAAAAATTAATTTATTGTTCTACAAAAGGAGGTGGAACATATATTTGATATTAATATAATATCCCATTTGTTCAAAATACCTAAATGTTTTCCTAATCCTTGTTATTAGTTAGTGCCTAAGAAAGTATGTCCAAAAGGGTGAGTTTGTTACATGGGATAATGATATATGGAATGGGATGGAACAAGTTTTCTAGGACTATTAATTTTTTATGATGATGATAATGACATCTTTTGTACAAATGAGAAATTGAGGAGCGTGTTTATATTCCAAATTTTTTGGTAGAAAAAGAAATTTCAATATTTTTCCTACTAACATCATTATTAGTCCTAATCTAATGGATGCCAAATACAGTATGAGTGTGACGTAAGTAAGGTAGTTACAACTCACTTCAAAACCCACTTCTTTCAATGCAGCAAGACATTGTCTTGTGGATCTAATGTCTGGGAGGCCATCACCAAGCTCAATTTCTGCCTGTTGATATAAAGTTACATTAAAATACCCTTCAAAAGTTATGTAACTTAGAGCAACCCCAACTATACTACAAAATCATCAACTTTCTTTTGGTGTTGATGGATATAGACACATTAATTTGGTAAACAGAAAAAATTGGTTTTAAATATAAAATATTAAATACTACAATACAATGATAAAACATTTATCTACACAAAATATATTATTACAAAAAGTTAACCGAGAACTTTAAGATGAGGACAATATCGACTATGATATTGAAAATTTTGTGATATACAATTTAAATTTATCATTTGTTCTATTTCGGCAAGTTCTCATAGCATAAATGTAGTTATAAATTAAGTAATGATCAATTATGTATTGTATAATTGTTATATTTGTATCCAATAAGTCTAATTTTATGAGTGTCATTATACCTTAATTTGTTGGTGATCTTTGTTATTTGGATCAAATACATCAGTCATGCACCACTCATCTGCAGCAAAATACTGACCGGGCTTCAAGACTCTATATATCTCTTTATAGCATCCAACCTTTAAATCATAAATGAAAGGTTTGATAAAGACGACAAAAAGAAAACAAGTAGATGAGAGAAAAAAAAATATAATTATTAAAAAAAAAAAAAAAAAACATAAGCAATTATTTAAATACCGCATCTGGAGCATGACAAGTTGCTTCAATTGCGTACACTGCATCAAAACTGTTATCAGGAAAAGGCATCTTCATGAAATCACCCTACAAATAATCATTTAATGGAGAAAATCAAGGAAGGAGTTATGGTTTCCTTAGTAAATTCTAACTTTACCATTAATAAGAAAATATGAGTAACTCTCATCTAATCTCTAAAAAATTAATAACAAAATATAAGCCATTAATGTTGTGTTTTCCGTAGTTGAAAACCTAACTTTTAGTTTATAAGTTATCATTAAGCTATCTCAAATAACTATTTACTTTTAAACTAATTTATAAGCCACTTTTGTGGTCTCACCAAAAACTAATTTAATAAGCTTTAAAAATATTCTAGCTTTTGCACCAAATACAATTTATGAAGTAGCTAGACTACACTTGATGACTTGATGCTCGACAAAAAGTTACCTTCTCAAAATTGCAATTTTGCTCCACTCCTGCAGCACGGTTTAGTACCTTGAGACAAATAGAAATATATGTCAGTGAAAAAGTTAAAATCAAATAATTATAGCAACATATCTCATGATGTCTAGAGAGTGATGTTTAAAATATATTTAACAAAATTATGTCACATTAGAAAAAATGGAAGGAAAAAGGAAATTTCTTAAAAAATTAGGTCTTAAAGAGGAATGCCTCATTTCCATGAATTTCTTTATCAAATCATTAGAAATGTGACGGTACAAAACGGCGATGATAAATATTTTTTTTCACAAATATTTTCTTACTAGTAAGTAATTATTATATTTTATTATTTGTTACTGTGTAATAAAAAATTACCACTTTTAGATAAAATATTTATATTTAGACATTATATTTAGATTGAATGTTTATACATTTGATGTATATTATATAATATCAATGTTTATTCTAAGAAATATAAATTAATTTGTTTACATGACTATTATTATTATTATTATTATTATTATTATTATTATTATTGCATCTAGTAAAAAACCACTCATATATATATATATATATATATATATATATATATATATATATATATATATATATATATATATATATATATATAAATGTTTTGTTTCTTTTTGTTTTTGATTAAATGTTGTATGAATATATGATGTTAAATTTGACTTGCGAGTTTACGGCCTAGAGAGATATCGACCCACCCGAACAAAGTAAAGAAACTTGTTGACGCATGATACCGACATGATAATTGTGTGGGATTGGTTGAGGTTCGGCCAATCTAGTTAGAGTTACATTTTGTATTTTCCTTATATAATACAACTATTGTTTGTCAAGATCGTGAAAAAGAAGACTCCCTTCTGCTTTATAGATATATGTCGTATTGACCGAACCACGTTAAATATTGTATTCTTATGTGCATGATTTATTCTTATTTACTCCTGACAGATGTGTGTCTTGATCAAGTGTTTTATGAAGAAACGTTCTTTTCTTTTTTCTTTGGGCCGAATAAACCTTTTGAATGATAAAAAAATAACTATTTTACACTTATGTATAGAAATCTAATGTTGATAGGAAATAACTATTTTTTATAATTGTTACAAATATATATATATATATATATATATATATATATATATATATATATATATATATATATATATATATATATATATATATATATATATATTGTAAATGAAAATAATTAAAAATTATGAACTACTCTGAAGTATATATGATATTAATTCAAATTATATTACTTAACTTAAACATGATATTTTACCACAATGTCATTATTAACTTAAAATGAGTCCTGTTTTGTGTTAACTCAAAAGAAACACCGTTATATATCTGTATGAATTAAGTTGTCCCCGTCAAATAAAAATAAAAAAGAAACAACACATGAAGTAGTTGAAGTAGATAAATAGAACTAAACAAGAACGAACCTTTCCTCTTGTTATCTGATATTCATTGTTGTTTATTCCTGTCACATATGTAGAACTGCGAGGAGTATAACAATTCAATTTCTTATTTATGAGATATATATAAAGTATGTGATGCCAAAAAACGAATGTGAAGAGAAAAAAGAAAATAAATAAATAAATAAATAAAGCATTTCATGTCAGAAGTACAAAGTTGGTTACCTAAATCTAGCGATTTCTCTCAAAGGTCCACCAATTCCACATCCTACATCCAAAACCTTTTGCCCAGGCTTTAAGCCAAGTTGTAAAGCAAGAAAATGTTCATGTCGCTTGATGCTCTCACGAAGAGATTCTCCTTTCCATCTGCAACCAGAATAATGTAATTTTTTTTTTTTCAAAATTAATAAAATAACATGAAGTAAACAATAAATTATAACCTTGGGGCAAAATGGAATGATTCTCCCCAACCGTACTCATAAAAGCTTGTAGCAAGATCGTAATATTTGTTAACCTGAAACAAAATTATTTTGCGTTACATGCAACAAAAAAAAATAGCAACACCCTATTACACGTGTTATTATAGCGTTGATTATGTTATAATACCTTCATTTTTTTTGTTAAGACAATGTATTTGGAATAACCTACTCGATTATAACATGAAAATTATTTTGTAGTCGAATGACATCACTGTAATGGGTATATTTTTCGAAGTCTAGTGTTGTGAGAAGAAAAATTAAACTAGAACTCTAAGTATATATGTGAATGTTGAGTAAAACATTTTAAGCTGCAAAAAAGAATTATTAGCTAGGCTGAAAGAAGTTATAATACATTTATGTTTATACATAATAAGCCTGGAATGCTCGGCAAAGAAGGATATGATTAAATGGTCCTTAAAAAAGCAAAATAGTTTTTACCATGTCCATGTAGTTTGCCTTCCTCTCTTCATCAAGACCTCCAAAACTTGCATGATACTTTTCATATCTGCATTAAACGACAAAAACTATCAATAATAAGATTATATAGATTATTATGCCACATCATATTTGATAGCAACATGAACATCCAACCGATCATTTTGAATAAGTTTGAATCCGCGACTCTTTTCATAGTGAAACCTTAATAAAGAGTGAATGACCTAAATCGTTGATCATATCGTTTCCCAAAAATTATGATTGCGTCCCCACCCTCAATATTTACCACAATAATGGATGATGTTAAAGATTAATGATAGGGGCACAATACATAATATTTGGTAAACCATATAGAAAATTTACGTGATTCACTCTATTAAATAAACACATGATAGGTAAAAAAAAGTGATTTTATAGAATTATCAATCAGGTCCATAAAGTCTATAAAGTCTTATATCTATTGACATCAATGATTGTTCTATTTGGAGTACTACTTGTTATAAACTTAAATCTATTTGGCATTTTTTTTCTTTGAGTAACCTAAAATACATGTCAATTTGAAGTTAAAGGGGGGACTTCTTCCACCTCCAAATCGAGAGTATCAATCAAAAGAGGGTAAAGTTATATAAAAACCATTATATTATTATGTTATTTTTATATAACCATTATATTATTATTATTATGTTATTTTGTTTAACCATGGAAAGGCTATTTGTTTTACTAAAAGAATCCTTATACAAGGCTTAGGATTTTATAAAAACCACTATAATTTGGAATTAGTTCAGTCTAACCATTTGAAGAATTTTTTGTTTATGATTTTGCCGTTAAAACTTTGAATCTTTCTTAAAAAATCCATCTTTAACTAGAAAAATATTTTCCCGAATTTTTTTATTCAAATCGTTATAGGGGGGAAACAACTGTAGTTTCTTAATTTCAAGTAAAAAATAACTAGAATTTTTTTTTTTCATTGATTAAAACCAAAGGAAAACCAAACTGAAGCGTTACTTATGGAATTTCGCTTCAAAAGAATAGAAAAATAATCATCCGATGGCTAAAGATAACTAATCAATTCCAGATCGAATTAAATGCATATGTTCGTATAGTAATATTTCAGATTTCAGATTTAAAATTTAAAATATTGAGAAAGTTTTACTACGTTTAATATACATACCTGTCGACAGCAAAAAGGACTTCATCTTTTTTTATTTTGCCACTAAGTCCGGATGTAAGATCCAGTGATCCAACTTTCAACATCTCGCTTTGATTTCCAGTTCAAAAACAAACAATCCAGGAGATTCAAAATTACAATAAGTTATAATCAGAAATAGTGAAATATGAATCATAAGATATATAGAAAACATAATTGTGAAAAACAATATCGAAGGATATTCAATATCGAAAGACGAGAGATCTTACTAGTTAAAAACAATATCCAAGGAGAAATGGCAAGAATGAGGGAGAGTGAAATACGTCATAAGATATATAGAAAACATAAGTGTGAAAGATATTCAATACAGCGTTTTAGGTATGAATATTCAATGGTATTTAGATACATACCAAATTAGAAGATACCCATTATAACCATACATCCCTTCTTGATATCTTTCCCCTTAATTCTCTCCATCTGTCTTCATTGTTCATCAAGGCTTTATCCAAATCTCCACACACTTCAGCAGAGAAGTTTGTGGGATTTATCTTCATTGCTATGCACTTCAAACAATGCACCTTCGTTAATTTTGTCATTGTTGCAAATGTTAACTCTATAGACAAATCCTAATAACAAAAAAGGAAAAAATAACTTAAAATGGTAACCAATAATTCAAAATTTGTTATTTACATCATTAAACTTTTAATTATAACCAATAAGCAAACTAACTTTTCATTTTGGTTTTAAAATATCATCGATTAAGATTTTTATTGGTTAAAATGACAATGAACACCGTCATTGCCTTTGTCAAGTCTAACTAATAGCTTATTGTAGTCATTTTTCTCAAACCATAACTTTAAAGGGCTGGTATTCGTTGTCATTTTAATCGATAAAAATCGTAATCATTGTTATTTTGAAACCAAAATAAAAAGCTAATTTCCTTAATGGATGCAATTAAAAGTTTAGTGACCTAGCTAAAAAACAAGTTCTATATTATAGGTTGCCATTTTAAGTCATGATGGGTTCCCAGCCTCCCACAACGGCTCCTCACTTTGCGAGGATATGGGAGAGGGGTCGCTTTGAATTTGAAACCTCCCCTAAGGGACCCCAAGCTTTATCCGACGAGCCACACCAATGTGATGGTTCAACAACATACATAATAATCTAAATTAATAACAAATAAAGATTGAAAACTTTGATGTATCAAGTATAATAAGAGATATAGAAGAACCTTAGAATAAAGAATGGAAGTTTTTGAATGGTGTGTGTCGAAATGTAAAAGAATGTCTAAGGGCATCTCCAAACCCTCTCCAAATCTGATTTTTTGCACCATTTTTCTCTTAAATCTTAGTGGTCAAGTCCATTTCTTGCAACATTACGATCAAAATCATGTCTAACTTCCGGTAGATATTTTTTCATCTTAGGCTTATACATTTGAAGTTTATTTTAAGTGATTAGTTATAATTTCAAAAAAAATAGTTATTCACTTAAATGACTATTTTATATTACTTACAAACAACTTTGTTGCAAAATACAAGCTCGCAAGTCTGCACCATGAATTAGCGAGAATGTACTTTATCTGACAAATTTGTCTCGCAAGTATATATCGGCACGTGCGTTGCTCTCATGCTATTACATTTTTCAACTACCATAGTTTCACCCTAGTGAATGATGATCACTAAATTATTTTAAGTCTCTCTAGTTGGAGTCTATAAGTTGTTATGCTTTTAACAATTTGCTTATCACTTTCCCATCTCTTTCAATAGAATGAGTTTTATTTCAAATGTTGTTCTTCATAAAATTGTCGCTTAGGCCATCAAATTTGAACAAGAAAGGGAAACGATTTGCAAGATTTATCGATACAAATTTCTATCATTGGAAAAATGAAGAATGTTAATGTTTTGATCTTAATTGATCATTCGGACTTCAATCATGGTTGACCATATCCACACATGATACTCAAATATAGTTTTTTGAGGTATGAAGGCTTAAAGATTGTAGGATCCATTTGAACGATCGACTATGTGCGCAATAAAAGGATATTGTGATTTATCGATTAACAAAAATATGAATAACATAAGATGAGTAATATGATGATTATGAGAGAAAGAGAGATTACAATATGAAATGAAGAACACTTCGGTGGGAGAGATCCCAACCGAGAGTTTCTCTCTAACTAAAACAAAAGACTACATTTTAGGTTCACACAAAATAAAATGATCATTCATCTCTATATATAGATAGAGAGAGATAACTTACAATACAATAAAAGGTAATAAAATAACCTAACTTATCACTCATAATTTGTATAACATTATCATGCTCCAACAATCTCTCCCTAAATGCTCGCAAATGATGAGGGATACAAATACAATGATAAAAGACTAAAATACATAGTAACCAACTAGCACGTGCGGTAATAAATGATACATAATGAGAACAAAATATTGAAATGTCTCTGAAATTATGTAGTGTCTGTGATATCTAAAACTGAGCGATAAAATCTCTATAGTCAAAGTCTTCTAACAAACAAAGCCCATCATCTCCGGTGTTGAAGAGTGAGATTCCAATCTACAAATCTGATCTGTAAACCAAGTTGATCAACTTCAAAAGTGTATCAATAACTCTTGAACTGAACATCGCATAATCAAGTCATACTTCAGTTTCAAAAGTCTGAAACATCTCTTGTTCTCGAATCATAATATACCCAAAATTCTTCAAAAGAATAACTTGCTAAAAACATGAAACCATCCTGTGATAGAGTTAGAATAATAAACAAGTCTGGATCCAAGAATAGAAGTTGCAGTGATCCATAGGCATGCATCATACTTCAAACTTCAATCAGAACTGTCATCATGGTGTCGGTTTGACTAACCAAGTAAATGATAAGCCAAGATCAATTAGCACCTCAAAATACTAAATAATCTCCTTTTCCCAGATATCTTCAAAATCCACACTCTGTAAAAACATACCCAATGATCCGAATGCTCATAATATATTCTCCCTATTTTTGATAACCAATGCCAAAATATCAAAAATAAATAAATCAATCAAGATAGAGTGTCGGATACCAAGAACTTCACATGTTCTCCCTAGATGTATGAAGGGTCTCGATAAAACACGAGAATGAGAGTAAAATAAATACTCTCCAGTCATAAGTAGCTGGTTGATTCTGTTGCTGAAAACTACTTGAATAAGTACCATAGTAACAAATAAGAACTCTGCGTGAAAAATCTCTGCTCTGCTGAAAAATGCTAATGTACCCAAATTGCGGTGCCGAAACTCTTGAAGCGGTCTTCAATAAATAAAGTTCACTTGCTCAAGACACATGGTACATCAACCGAAGATCAAGAGCGACAAGTCATAAAAAGTCTTCGTGAAGCGAAGATAACTTTGTTGATCAGACACTGATGCGGTGCAAACGTTGTGAAGAGGAATATGATGACCGACTGCGGTATGGAGGATCATTGGTCATAAGACACTGGTCCAAGGAATGTTGGTCGAAAGACCTTGATTTAAAGGGAAATCTTCATAGAAAGAATAAAATTCTTCCAATATAATCAACAAGAAGTTATCCATCGTGACAATCAAAGCTTGAATAAATATCCAATAATGAACGCTTTCGTGAAGACAATAAATCGAGTCTATAAAAATTATTCTTCACAAAAGTGCTTCAGATCATGGGTTGCAGTGGTAAAAATTGGTGAAAAAAATTGGTTTTAAAAAGAGTGGTAAAAAATTGATGTTAAAAAAATGGTTTTAAAAAAATAAAAGGCTAAGGTATTTGTTTGGTTTCATAAAAAATGGCTAATAAAAAATGGTGATAAATAAAATAGGTTAAACGAGTGTTAAAAAAAGGCTTTAAAAATAAAAAGAAAAGAGGGGGTTGCGATGAGAGCAGAGGGATAAGGTTGAGGTGGGTAAAATCTGAGGAGGTGATACGAGGACTTGTCTCCGGTGAGGAGATAGTCTGCAGTGGGGATGGGATTGAGACTGAAGACCGAAGTCTTTAGTGAGTTAGACGAGATCATGGAAGGGTGGGCACAAGGTTTGTAGTGAAGGTGGGTAGCTACCGAAGTCAAAGGTCTCCGATGAAGGTTAAAGGTATGATAAAGAGGAGTGACGGATAGGATAGCGAGGAGTTGGAATGGAGGTTAATTGTGAGGAGGTGGGTAACGAAGAAGGATAGCGACGAGCTAGAGGTAGCGAAGAAAAAGGTCTACGGTATGCGAAGTGGGACGGACATGGAACACGGAAGTAGCAGCTACAGGTCTTCGACATCTCATAGTGAGAGGGACCGTAGAGTTTCATGTAAGGACCTCTCAGCAGAATAATTGTCTTAAGTATGGCCTTTAACTCTTTGGTCAGCCCAAGGCTTTATGTAACATTCATAAAATTCTTGAAAATTTAAACTTTTTAAACAATCCAAAATTCATCATTGTTTACAAATTGTTTTCAAAATAAGTTTCACATCAGAGAAATCCCAAAATCATAAAACCAAAAACATGAGGAGGTGCACGATCACGCCTTTGCCTTGCCGTGGTCCTTTGAGGTACCTGAAACACAATCCAAAATTGTAAGCCCAAAACTTAGTAAGTTCCCCCAAAATACCAATACATAGCAACAGTACAAACATAATAACAACATGTAATGGGTCCACAACTTAACAGACTGGATTACCCCTGAGCCCACATCATAAGTCTGGCTTGCCCTTGGCCCATAGCTTATATCTGGCTTGATCCCCGGCCTGATCAGTCTGTTGACTAAATACCGCTAAGCCCTCAGTACGAGTCTGACATGCCCTTCCCAACCCTTATCTCGTATCTAGAATGCTCATGAGTCCCCAGTATGAGTCTAGCATGCCCTCCCTGGCCCTCAACTCATATCTAGCATACTCCAGGGTTTGTTGGTACAACACGGAGCAGTACAACCCTCAACCTAACCCATATAATATGTCAACATATAAGATAAAATATCATATACAGACAAACCGACAATATCACATGTAGTCCTATAGATCCACCATACTACCATATCAAAACTATCATACATATCTATACTATACTCAGCTTATCAACAATATCAGGTTATCAAACCAATGGGTAGGCCTTGGTGCCTTCAACCCAAAAGTACAGTGAGGAAAACTCACCTTACAAGTAGTTCTGAACTGATAAGATCTAACTCTGAGTCTCAGCTCCCGATTCAAATTCCTACAACCATCATGTGACCAATTCCATCAAAACCCCAAAATACCCAAAATGCCCTCAAAAGTCAACTTGGTCAACCATGGTCAAATTTAGAGTCAACGGTCAAGGTCAACAGTCCATG